AGTTAGTCACTTTTGGAGCTGTTCTCTGGGAGCTGCCATTGCACTTGTACTTGGAGGTAGGAGACATCGTGCTGTGTTTTAAGAACAGACTGAAGCCAAAGGCAGAGAGCTAGTCCAAAGAAAGCCTTCACCATGAGAGCCAGGTTCCACAGTGAGAACCAGGTGAGATCAGGGATACGTGAGTTTAAAGGAAGAGACAAACACTTAAGCAGAGGCTATTCCAGAAGTCAGCAAAGGGATGGGTAATAAGGAATTTGGTCGGCAACGGGAAGAAGAGCCAAAGTAAGAGGACATGGGCTCTAGGACTCAGAACTAGAGACAGAGATGGGAATAAGACCCTTAACCTGGGGTCAGGAGGCCCGAGCACTGCCCGCCATGGGCAGCTGGCTGCAGTCAGGAATGACTGCTTTCTGTGGTTGTCAGAAGTGACAGCAGCTGCTAGTTCTTGTGGACAAGTGCCATGCGTTTGTGGAACTGGTAGGGTCTGCTGAAGCTTAGCTTGGTAGCCAGTGAAAGCTCTTAATAGGCTGTAGCTTTTCTACCATTGTTGCTGAGATAGGTGGGCTTGTAGGCTAATTTCATTTTGTAGCAGTCTTTATTCTTGAGACATCCAAACAGTTAATGCTGTGCACTTCTCTGTAGAAGGGAATCTGCTGCTAGGACATGGAGCTAGTTGCTGTTTACTCAGAGTTATAGAGCAGTTCTTGCCCTTGTTTGTAAACATTATGTTAAGAACAGCGCTGTCATGTTGTGCTTCTTGGCACACCTTGCATTTTCATGTTTTATCCCTCCCTTTGACAATATGAAGTTGATGCCGCACCAGAGAAGGCATAGGAAGAACATTGGGTAGCAGAATACCTTACTTATGAAAGAATTGAAAGAGCAGTGCCTCATGAGGAGCTTTGTTCTATGCTGATGCTGTAGGTTCTGTGATGTGTCAGTCCAATGGTGTTTTTTCTTTTTTACTCAGACATTTGGATTGGCACCCGAGGTACCATCACCAGTGTGCGCACTGAGAATTTAGCTTTCAGCAGAGATCCTTAAGCCCCTATTTTGACTCAGTTTTCAGAGGTAGTTTAAGATTGAGGATTGTTTTGCCTGTCAGAATGCCTCTAGAAGCCCAAATGCAAAATTATATTCTTGCTGTAAGTTTCCCTGAAAGTTCTTCCCTTCAGGCACACTGGTTCCCCAGCAGCCCATTCGTTAGGCCCATCCACACAGGTGCAGTCCTGTTGACACACACGTATATGACACGTGAGCACAGTCACAGTACTACATGTGTACATGCACAGGGTCTCTTCTGTTGGTGCTGAAGTGCTGCAGTGTGCACTGGTGATTCATTATAGAACCAAAACATAACTGCTTATTTTCTCTTGTCTGAAGGCTGTAGGATTTTGTAACTTACCAGGACTCTGACTAGTAGCTTCTCTTTTGAAAGATCCCAGGGACTTGCATAAACTTCTTAAAAAGCCACCGTTTCCTCTGAGCATCCAGTGCTTGGAGGTGAAAGGCCCACTGTGCTTTTCCTCTCATTATCCCTGCTCTCCACAGCACAATTTCTCCAGGCATGCACTTGCATCTGGTTTGGTTCCTGGTCTGTAAATTCTTCCCACAAAGTACCAGAAAAAGATGCCAGACAAAGATGCTGTGGAGAGAACAGACGTTTTTATCAGAAGTATGACTACAGTAACTACACTGGTTCCTTTGGCTTCTTCATCTGTGTGCTTTGCTGCTCAAAGCCATATCTTTTACTTATCCTCTGAGAGCGTGGGACAGAAAATAGGCATGTTCTGTAGTTTTGTGGCTCTTGAGGACAGGTCTGGTCAGAGATTTCCAAAAGAGTGCATAAATGCTTCAGCTGGGCTCAGAAGGGGTCTTCTAACTGAGGATATGGGTTCAGACAAGGCTGGTGCTGGAGGGAGGAGTGAAGGTGTCTGGTAGTAAGCATGAAGTGCAAGAGCCAGGCCCCTCTAGTCCCTTCTCCAGTATTTTGTTTGAGGAGTGCTGATTTCGAGACCATCAGAGAGGGAAGAAAGGATGTAAGGATGTAAGGAACAACATTTTTCAAAAATGTTTAACGTCTCTTCTGAGACATGAGTGACAAGGAGAGAATCTGAGACATGAGTGACGAGGTGGAGAATTGTTTCTATTTGCCTTTCATCTATGCATGCTTCCCTGTGCAGTGTATGCTCACCAGGTTCCTGCATTGTAGAAGTTGTGTTGGAGAAGTGATTGCCCCATCTCTTGTCACTTGGCCAGTGCTGGTTTCTAAAACTGACAGAGTCGAGACAGAAGGTGGAGGCAGTGCGGAAGATGATGTCAAGAAGTCTGCGTTCGTTTTTGTAGTTCAGGCTTGCATCACCCTTTTTTATTTCAAGTTGAAGGGTTGGTACAAATCGGGAGATATGAACCTCTGTTAACATGAATATTAATACAGAACTCAAGAACATTTGGAGTTATGGAGTTATATGAGTCATATATTTCTGTGAAACTTAACTTCCTGCCTAATCACACAGCCTCTGCCTGTGGGGAAAAGGCTAGTTTAGTTTCATTACCTTGCTCCACCGGAGTGCTGCTGTTTGTAATTAGGTCTATTTTCCACAGCCTGGAACTGTTACTGCATCTACAAAACTAAAAATACTGTGTCTTAGGAGCAGCCTTGGCCTCTTGTCTTTCCTGCTCCTGTCTGGCCCATTCTGTTGGGGAAGTGCCGGAGGATGGTGCATGAGGTAGGAACACATGGGCTGGTTTCACAGCATGAAGGTAGTGACTGATATGCCATACCCCTGCTGTGTGCTGGGTGCCTGCAGGCTAGTCTGACATTGCCAGGAAGTCAGCAGTCTCTTTTTTAAGAAAAAAAAATCCCTCCCCTTTGGGCTCCAGATGTCCTGCTGACAAGAAGTTTCACTCTTGCAATGTCAGTCGTGATTATGTGGATGAAATGATTTTGTAATCCCATCAGGAGGAGCCCTCCTCCTCCCTTACTTCCCGGAATACATTGCAGCTTGTGGCTGGGATGCATCAGGGCTGTGTCACTGCCTGCAGGCAGCAGGGCCTGAGCACCGTCACTCCGTCCATCAGCTGGAGGATTGGACCTTTTCTTCAAGAAGTGCTGCAAGTACTACCAGCAGTGTTTCATTCTTCACAGTAATTAATGCTTGAGTGAATCTTTTGCGTGACTTAAAGGAATGTGGAGATGTACTCAGGCATCTCAGCTTTCTGCTTTGTGTCCAAACATGTCCCTAGAGATCTGAAACTGTGCATCCATGAGAAGCATACATGTAGGAATATAAGGCAGCTCTGGGTTTCTCTCATTGAAGTTCCCATCTCCAGGTGGTGCTCTGTGTCTGTCCATAAGGTTTTCTGTTGCTGCAGGATTTACTGTGGATGATTTTTTTAAAGTTAATTGTGATGTCCACTCTGTTCTTTTGGGAACTGTGTATCTCTTTAGATTATTTGCAAATCAGACCTGTTATGTTGCGGACTTTTACTCTGGGATTTCTTGTTCTTTTGTGGCTTTGTGTTCTACATTTGCTGCAGTTGCACTTATCCTAGTCTATTTTTGCAGTGATTGTGTGGCTGTGTACATCAAAGCAAGGGAGTTTTGATTTCCTTATGCAGTCTGAGTCTGTGTTTACAAAGGTCACATAAATTAATATGTGGTTTTTTAATATATGGTTTTTAACACTTGCTTCTGTTGTTTGCCACAGCATAAAGAGGCATGGCAAGAGCCTAGCAATCTTGACAGTATGACTGGATTTGTACGTGATGACTGTTGCTGTCAGAGTTCTGGGAGGGGGTGGTTTTGTGGCACAACTGCTTTTGTCTTTTGCCTTTGGCACTCTAAGAGAATTTACATGGTCTGGTCCAAATATAGAGGAGGGAAGAAGAGGCCTGGGGCAGTAGTCCTCTGCCTCTCCCAGTCAGCAGTGCACTGTATAAAGCATGTCCCTGTTTACCTGACGTTTTATGTTTGTGCTGCTGCACAGCCTTTTGTCACCTCCCCTCTTCTAGAGAGTGGCACACTTCAGTCCTGAACTCCATGGGCCAAGTTAAACTGGTCCTGGCCTTTAAGGCAGTTGCTTTTTAAATCAGTTAATCCTTTTAGCTTGCATTGGTAAATCACAGAATTAAGATCAAGTGATCTGTATGCATGTTGGAGCAGATAAAGGTGTGTTTATGCTAGCAGTTTACATCAGTTTCACTAAGTCTTTGCAATCTCACTAGTAAGACTTTTTTTCTGTTTGGGTAGTAGAGCTTTTTGGAAAAAGTGGTGGGATTCACTTTCCAGGTTCACATAATGTAGTGTGGAGTTAGTGCTTTATAAAAGGATGGTTTTTAGTATCATTTCCAAGTCCTGGAAAAGGGTGTCCCCAGAAGGTTGGTGGTGAATGTTTCCTGAGAGTGGCATAATGGCCAGGGTTTCCCTTAGATATGATTCTGGTTTTCTGTTTATTTTTATAGGTCAGGGGAGGATTACTAATCCTCATCTTTGATGCATCATTGATCCTTGGCACAGCCTTCAGCTGTTGCTAGTAATAGGGAAATTAGTCGTTGCTATATCAGTGTATCAAAATTGGCTTTTACAGTTTTCTGTGTGCTCTGGAGTTCATGCAATAAAATCCAGCACAGCTGGCAGTAATGAGTAATTGGTTCCTGGAAGCTTCAGCAAAGGCCTCTGGTTGTGGAGTTTGGAATTTCCCTCTCACATGCTTGGAAAGATCAGGGCTGAAGTCCCCTGCTGGTGCTAGCGGTAATGGAGGTTTGTCCTGGTTTGATGTGACAGTAAACAGTTTTGTGTCCAAGTGTGCTGTTACTGTATTTTAACCACAGTTTGTTAAAATATTATTTCAAGGGAATAAATATTGATAAAAAACAAAGTTAATTGTCTCTTAATAAGGAAACAATCTTGCTGCTTGCTTGCTGTTCTGTAAGATTTGGGGAGTTAACAGTCTCAGTAGCTGAAATCTTGCCTCTTTTGTCTCTGTTTTTCTCCACAGGTACTTCCTTTCTGACTTTCAGTAGCAGGGAAAAAACTAAAGACCTTGAAGAAAGTTGCCTGCTGCTCCTTACTCTGCAGTAACAATGCTGCAGAGATGAGATTATAGCAAGCCCTTCCTGTGTGGCCTCCATGGGTCCCACTCAACTCAGCACACAGGACCATGGGAAGAGGGTGGCAAGTGTATTTGAGATGGAGGAGGAAGGCCTTTCAGTCTTCTCTGGCTCAGAGAACCCCCCTAAGCATGCAGGTATGGAAAAACTCTTATTAAATGCTTACTAGCTAAAGGGATTCCATTCTTTAAGCTGTAAATAATACTGATACTTGGAGAAGTTCTAGAGTGAGTACTGCTACATCTGAGACACCAGAGTTGAAGACTAGAATCCATTACTGGTAGTTGAAATTAATGAATGCTTTACAAAAGATGCAGGAAAGTCATGAAATGTAGAGAAAATGGTTAAAGAGTGAATCTACTGAACAAGGAGGACCATAATGAGAGGCAAAGGTACCAAGATGATGGTCAAGCTTGATGCATCTCAAGCTTTGATTTTGCAAAATGACAATGATAAGCAGTATAACTAAAATGCCTAATGTTCAAAATGGAAAATAGTTTCCTTAGATGAAAACTGAAGCCTGTTTGACTCAGTGAAACAGTCATAAGGATGGTTGTCAGATCTTTAGGTAACTCATTAATGACAGTCAAAAGATTTGTGCCGGATGGATTCATCATGTGCAGTTATTGGTTTACTTTGCTGTCACTCAGAAATCTGAACGTGATTCAAAACTTTGTCAAAGTTTTTTTGCCAGTTAATATATGTGTAAAAGGAGACTGAGTAACTTGAAATAAATACAGGCATTGCGTAATTTATTCTTTTGTAAGAGATGGTGTGAAGAGAAGTACAGTAAATCAAGAGAGGAGAATATCAGAGGCTTAACCTTTCTGCTGACATTTTCCTGATCTGCACTGTCTGCAATGAGATGTGCATGCCAAAGTGAATGACCTGCAGACCTTTGCAAAGTCAATGGAATTGAAAATCAACACCAAGATGCTTAAGTCTGAAAACCAATATGAAGTGAAAAACACTAATAATAATTTCTGAGCCTTATCAAGGCCGTTCTGCCTGTATGGTTTATGAAAGCTGCCATAGAAGGATCTATTACATCAAACAGACAAAAAAATACATGCACTGAGCTGCATAGAAGAACATGCGAGATGACGACATGGCTAGAATTAGTGGAATGAAAATGGGGATGGCTAATAAGGAGGGAATGCACAAAGAACATCAGAGAGCATTTGAGTAGAATGCTTTAGTATTGACTGGAGCAGTCCAAAGATGTTTTCAGAACATGCATTTTGTGACAGAAGATCCATGAGAATGAGGTAGGAAAAACTGGGAACTGCTGCACAAGACCATTTAAAATGCAAGGCAATAGTGAAGACTTTTTTTTTTTTTAACAGAGTAACAAGATTCAGCAAATGGAAGAGTGAGAATGTTTTAGTTTAAGGAGAGAGGAGCAATCATCTTGAAAAATAAATGATGGCTTTGGGGTTACAGAAGTTCCTAGAGCTCACATAGTGTGTGTCAGCTGCTTGACCCTGACTGCATGGAGTCGCTGTCTTCTATCTTGAAGGCTTTCCCATGTGTTCAATTTTGAAAAGACTTATTTTCTGTGCAATCTTGAATTTCAGGTCAGTTTTCAGCAGCTATTTGTTAGGTGCTAAGTCATTTCTGCTGATGGAATGTACGGAAGAACATCGGGCTTGAGCACGTTTTTATCACTTTGATCTGCTCCATAGTAGGGTCAAGTGTAAAGCTATGTGTGCTTACATATTTGGCACGGAACTGTTTGGATTATGTCAATACATGGTTTGTTGCAGAAGATATGCTTGCCCCAAAGGAGTGAAAAGGGTGACTTTTCAGCCGCGTGTGTAGGAGATGGTGGGTTTGAGCGAGCGTATTGGTCGTTGTAAGGAATGGGGCCATCAGTTGCAAATGCCATGCTTCCCTCTTGTGTGTATGTGACCGTTTGGTATTTTGCTACTGTTCTTCTCATAGAAAACCCCCCGCTGAAGCGGAAGAAGGGCCCGGCCCCCAAGATGCTGGGAAATGAAGTCTGCAGTGTGTGTGGGGACAAGGCCTCGGGCTTCCACTACAACGTGCTGAGCTGTGAAGGCTGCAAGGGCTTCTTCCGCCGCAGTGTCATCAAGGGCGCCCAGTACGTCTGCAAGAACGGCGGCAAGTGTGAGATGGACATGTATATGCGGCGCAAGTGCCAGGAGTGCCGGCTGCGCAAGTGCCAGGAGGCAGGCATGCGGGAGCAGTGTGAGTGCAGGAAGTGGTGCTGGGGGGCGCCGGGATGAGGGAGCAGGGGTGGGCGGGTGGCCAGTGGGGGTGGATGTAAGGGAGAGGACAGCGTGAACGTTGGGGAACACATGTGAGCCATGCACGCTACAGGCTGGATTGCGTGTGAGAAGGTGCTGGGAGCTCAGCGGGGATTACGTGGGGAGGTGGGGCTGCTGGTGAAACAACGTTGATGTGCTGAGATCCCTGCTGTATTCTTTTGAAAACGCTGTTTGGTGAGAAATCACGGAGTGTGACATCAGAGGAAAGACTCGCAGCTGAAGTTTACACGTTCTTCAGTATGCTGTCTTTTGGTCTGCGTTATGAGGTTTGTCGCCATGCTCTTAAAATGCCAAAAAGCACTTCCTGTATTCACCTCGTGACAGAGGTCAAGGGCAGAGCCACAGTACTGCAGCTGTGTTTGTGCAGACTCAATCTTGTCGCTGCCTTTACAGAACTTAGTTATTTTTCTCACTGGACCATAAGGCTGCTGTTTCTGAATATTCAGCAGCACTCCTGCTTGTGTATCAGAAACAGCACTCCCCTGACAAGGTTCCCAGGTTTCACCCCTCTCCTGACCAAGGCTGACTGAGTAGATGCTCACTTAGAATTAATTTTGTGTGAAGTCTCCTTTTCTGACCTTCAGCAAACAGAACTGTGAAGAACGTAAAGTATTTCAGAAACATCTCTAAAATATACTCCTCAAAAACATTAAGCCCCAATGAGCTGCAGCAAAAAAATGTGCTTTTCACTTTTTGCAAGCTGAAACACAGAATGCTTAACGTATTTAATCTTCCACACTGGTTTGGATCAGCTTTATGTAGGCTGTCTCTGCGCTGTTTCCCCCTGCTTCTGAGAGCTACAAAAAGAGATGCATTTGAAAAATGATTCTGTAAGGCTGCCTGCCTGCCCTGTTAACTCTTCTGTTGTAGGTAGATACTATTAGAGAGCCTGATTATGTTTCAGTGTTTGCTCATTGTATTTTGGTGAAGACAGAGGATACACTTCAGCTCAGGAAAACTATGCTGGAAGGAATAATTGGGTCATTTTATCAACCACTTGTCTTGTCAGCGCTGTAATCCATGCTATAAATTTGCCTTGTTAATCGTGACAAAAAATGAGATTTTTGTTTCCCAGCTGTTTACTTGGAATGTCGTTCGCTCTGCAAATTGTTCGAAACATTCTTCTAATTCCCAGACTGAAGGGAATTACTCATGGCTAGTTTATTTTTCTTAAACCAGCATGTGCCGTGAGCTTTGATAGCTCCTCCGTGGAAAACTGAGTGGCTCAGATTACTTGGAATTTGGTGTGGTGAAGGAAGCATGCACATAGGCAGTTTGCAAGGTTTTCTGATACTTGGTAACGTGTTACTCAGATATAAATTCTTCTGCGAGGGACTGTAATTGCCTGAATCAGTCTCTTCCGTTCTTAAATTCATACTGTGAGTAGCGTTCTCTGATCTTGCAGGTCATGTTTGATGTGGTAATTGTACTGAATGTCTTTGCTGTAAGAATTCTCATTTTGTGTATGTGTGTGCATGCATGCATACCCTCCCTTATTTTGGAAGTCTGGGATAAGGGTTCATCTCAGCTTGAATATATGCTCTTGGGTTTTCCCTCTGATCCTGTGTATTGTCCACCTCAGAACACACTGTCACAGCAATTGCCTAGTTCTCGCCTACATGTTTTATCAGAATTTGTTTTGAGAAGTTTATACTTGTTCAGTTTTGGGGCCTGCCTTCTTGCGTAGCACTCATTTTTCATTGTTATCTCTGCATAGAAAATGACCAAAGCATTTTTCAGCAAGGTCAGGCTTTATTTTTTATTGTTATACTTGTTTTTGAACAAATACAGTTTTATTTCCAGTCTGCTTTCTGCATTTTGTTCATTTATCAGTAGCTCACAGGGTGATTTAGCTATGGCCTGCAGGTAGTTTTTGCAGCTCTGACTTAAAGAAACAGCAGAAATCTACATCAAAAATCTTTTTTTTTTTTTTTTTTTTTTTTTTCCTATTAACTTAGTTGAAGGCATCCAAATAAATTTAATGAGCAAATGGTTTGATAAGACATTCCAGAAGGATACCCCAGATTTGTTTTATTTTCTACTGTGTTGAATCTAAATAGTATCACTCTTTAACTTCATGACTGAAGACTTCCAGCCCTACTCAGAAGGGCTTACATTCCTCCTCAGTGGGATTTATACAAAGCTGTCCTTTCTTTATTCCACTTGCTGTACATTTCTACTGCAGATGGGCTGTGCAGAGGGTTGTCCTTTCATGGTCTAACTCCACCTAGTACTGAATCTGGCTTCTTAAGGAGAAGATTAAATGACGCAAACTGTTAACTTAGCAGTATCAGAAAAAAGACAAAACAACAGGATTATATAAAATATAATGGACTCATCGTGATGTGCAGAGAGCACCTCTTGGACTATGTTATATGATATTTTGGGAAATTGCTCAGAGGCAAAAGCCATTTCTGACGTATGCAGGACAGCATGATGGGAGCTTCATGTGTTCACTGTCCTTTGTGAATGTTTGCACGAAGTACAATTAAAAGAAAGGCAATGGAACAAGTGGAGAAGAGAGCGAGACACAAATAAGTATCACTGTCTGTATCCTGTACATGAGTGTACATAAGCCAGATGCTGGCAGCTGGAACCTCTGCTTCTCCATCCGCAACGTGCTGCCCTGTGTTTAGTGTGGTTTCACTGTTCCTCTATGATTGATCTCTGGCTGTTCCTATTGTAGATGTTCTGTCTGAAGAGCAGATTCGGCTGAAAAAGCTGAAGAAGCAGGAGGACGATCAGGCGCGGACAGTCGTGGTGCGTCCAAACCCTCCACAGCCACCAAGTCCTTCCCACCAGCTGACACCTGAACAGTTAAACATGATTGAAAAGCTTGTGGCTGCTCAACAGCAGTGCAACCAGCGCTCGTTCACTGACAGGATCAAAGTGACGGTAAATACTCTTACCAGTGGAAATTTATAATAGCAAGAATAATAAGGAAGAAGTGGAATTACGAGGAGTCAGGGTTGGGGTGAAGTTTTGGGTAGAATGGAAATGCTTGAGGCATAGTTCTCTATAGAAAAACTTACTAGTTCCAGTGTGTCTCACTTATTCTCTTTGTTCGCTTCCTCTTCTCATCCTTCTATTCTTTTTTCATCTTTCATTTTATGTATACATACATACATATATATATATAACGTGTATATATATATATATGCTGTCTCTTTTCATTTCCACAGCCATGGCCCCAAGTCCCTGACCCTAATAACCGTGAAGCAAGGCAGCAGCGTTTTGCTCACTTTACAGAACTTGCAATTATCTCTGTGCAAGAGATTGTGGACTTTGCCAAGCAACTACCTGGCTTCCGGGAGCTCACGAGGGAAGATCAGATTGCTTTGTTGAAGACATCTACCATAGAGGTGAGAGATTGTCTCCACAATAGTATATAGTAACAGAGACAAAAGAGTCTGGATTACCCACCTGCAGAAATGGTTTTACATCCCTTTTTTTGGGATGGCAGGCTGAAAGAAAGACCTCTACTCTGTAGTGAGAGGCTATCCTGGCAAAGGGCCATGGAGAAGAATGAGGAAAGAGCACCTTGGCACTGGAAAGCATTATAATCTGTTCCCAGGAGGAGACGCTGCAAAGGATGCAGCAGAATTTACATTGGAATTTTGAAGTATTCTGAGAGAATTACACTTGGGGTTTTTCTTTTGTTTTTTTTCTTCTTTTTTCTCTCAACTGATTATTAATACTGTGATGTTCTTTCCTGTATTCAAGTGTATCTAACTGTGATCTCTGGTTTCAGGTGATGTTGTTGGAGACATCTCGGCGCTACAATCCAGAGATTGAGAGCATCACTTTTCTGAAGGACCTGAGCTATAATCGGGATGACTTCGCCAAAGCAGGTGCTGCATTAGACAGGTGTTTCTTCCTTCCCTGTCTTGTGTTCTTTCATCTTTTCATTTTTCATGTGGCTGCTGGAAATAGTGTGTGTGACTTGAAGTTAAATCAAGGATTTAGAACAAGAGCAGCTTTTAACAGAAGGATCATTGCAAAAAAAAAAAACAAACAGGGAATAAGCAAGAGCCGTACAAAGAGACTGGGAGCAAGGGAGGAAACAATCTGGTATCAGGATAAGTGAAAAAGAGTGGTGAGAGTCATGTTGCTTAGGGATGATATAGATATGGTAGAAGGGATTCAAAATCGATACATTCTCGTAAGAAGGAGCTTTAGTGGTCCACAGGACTCAGAAGGTCAGCTGCTGTGATTCTTTGTACCTTCCATGGACAAGTTTAGGGTGTCTAGGCCCTCCAGGCTGCTGATGGCTTTCTAGGAGCTTACTGCCACATCACGCCACTCAACTGCACTTTCAAACTTTAACGCTCAGTTTCTTATGACAAAGGTTCCAAACTTAGGAAACTGAACTTTATTTCTTTTTCAGCTTTTAGTAGACATTTTTCCTCCTTGATGCTCTTCATGGCAGCTTTTTCTTCGGGTTATTAGAAAGACAAAAAGAAGGCAGCCAGGGAGATTCCCTCCATCTTGCTCTTACGTACTACAGGACATGAGATTTGGATGGTATTCTGGGGGGAAAGGCTTAGTTTTCAGCATGCTTTTACATCACATAGCACAAAGGGACACGATATGACAGTCATCTGTATGTTATGACAGAATAAATGTGATTGTACTTCTGCCAGGCCGTTATCAAAGAAGGTGATTCTAAGTCTAGACCAGGATCTTCCCAGCTCTCCCAGGTTTTTAAGGTAAAGGAAATTGACTAGTGCAGAACTCTTGGAACTGCCTTTTCATCTCAAGACTTCAGATGAATCAGCAGCATGGAATTAAAACTTTGTTTGAAAGCAATAGGGCTGCCAGGTTTGAAAGAGATGGTGGTGTGGAATAAAAAGCATAGATTTTAAACTTGTGGGATTTTGTCTTTGGGATAGATTTATCTGGAAACTGATTGTGTGTCTGCCTGCCTGTCTTCCCTGCTCCCTGGCATGCTGAGTGTGTTTCTGACAGTTTATTCTGTGAGATGGAGAGAGAAAGAGAGAGGAAGCAATTGCCACTGCTGACCCTTACACTCTTCTCTTCTGTTTGCTGCAGGTCTGCAGTTTGAGTTCATTAACCCCATCTTTGAGTTCTCAAAGGGAATGAATGAGCTGCAACTCAATGATGCTGAATATGCACTTTTAATCGCCATCAACATTTTCTCTGCAGGTAAAAAGGCAGGGAGATCTGAAAAGCTGCAGCACTGACTTGCAGGGTAAAGGAAGCAGTTAAGGAAGATGATGGAAACAGAGAACTAATAGAAGGTGTAAGGTCTTACGATGAATGACCACATTACTACTTCTGCTTGGAGTATTTGTTATATTCTGAATCTTCCAGTGCTACCTCAACAGTAAAACGGATTCTTCTCTGAAGATGTGTGTAGCAAAATCAGCCAGTATTGATGTACCTCATTTAAAAACTGCTATTTTACTGTCCCCTTAACATGTTTGGTATCTCTGAAGTGCGATGGGTAGCATGGCGTGAGTGACATCTAGTGGACAAGTACAGGTACTCTGAGAGAACAACATTGTTCTCGGCCAGGAAAGGGCTCTGAAAAGAAGCTGTCTCTGCTCCTTGCATGTTTTTTCTGTGTCTTGTGACCTGAAAGATCAAAATTCTTTATTTGTTCTTGTTTTTGGACTGGCTTAGCTGCTGGAGAAACTTTCCCATTCCCTCCTGAATAACTGCAGCTTTTCATCTTCAGTTAGTCACAAATGTGAGACAAAAAAGGTATCTATATAGTGCTTTTTGGTCTCTATAACTTTCTACCCCTGTAGGAATTGGATCTGATTCCCTGTACGCATTAGACGTGATTGAAAAAGAGCAGTTTGAGAAAACTGGCATAGCTGCTGCATTCACAAATGACTGTCCCAGCTGTGCTGGGTGAATGCTAGATGAGTTTCGGGGAGAGACCTTACTGAGGCTAGACCAGGGTCAAGTCTAGTAATGCTGCCTGTAGCAACATGCTTATTTCTAACCTGCTTTTGGTAGATCGACCGAATGTGCAGGACCAGTCCCTGGTGGAGAGACTACAGCACACCTATGTGGAAGCCCTTCATTCGTACATTTGCATCAATAGACCAAATGTAAGTGTCTCACCGGACATCCCCGCGATGGTACAGACTGAATTTGTGTTCATGCAGGCCCAGTTCTGACAGTTAGTGTCAATCAGATCTCTTGTTGCCTGTACTGTCATGCTGTTCTCTTCTGTGGCTATGTGATAGCAGCTGTAAATGGAGGATTTATGAGCTGTCACAGCCTGCAGTTCTGTACTGTGCTCTGTAGTTAGCTAGCATAGAAAGTCTGGAGTTTTGGGTTGTAATGTTGTATTTGTGTTTTTCCACACGGCTGCCTCCAGGATAATGCTGTTCTAGGGAAAATTGGGATTGTGTGTAATGCATCATCCACTGTGCTTTGGTGGGGTTTGTTAGTTTTCAAAAGCCAAAGTTTTAGCATGGATTTACTAACAGCTGTCAATTTCTGACCCTGCAGGATCACCTGATGTTTCCACGGATGTTAATGAAGCTGGTCAGTCTTCGGACACTAAGTAGTGTTCACTCTGAACAGGTGTTTGCCCTTCGGCTGCAGGACAAGAAACTTCCTCCCCTGCTCTCAGAAATCTGGGATGTGCATGAGTGACTGCATGCTCCCAGGGCACTGATGTGCCGACATAACGCCGTGTCCCAGCCTTTGCTAACGAGAAGCCAGCCTCCCCTCTCCAAAGCACTGAACTCTGGGCTAGGCAGTGCAGAGAGTGACGAGCTTGGGGTTTCAATGTTGTAATGAGACTATGCAGGAGGCAGCTGGGGTAGATCAGATGATGGGGGTTGGTTTTGATGTAGTGCCCACACCCCAAGTGAATAATATGAAACATCTGAAAACGGTAGAAATGAAGACTCTCCACACACATACACCTCTTTCTTCAGTCTCTTTCTCTTTTCTAAGCATGTCCTGGGGATTTGCTAATCGATCCTTTCCTCTCTCGTTGATTATGAAAATGAATTTGCAGGAATTTGCCAAACCCTCTCTATTGAGAGTAACCCAGCTCAAACGGCTTATGCAGGGTTCCCAGTGTACCTGGATCTGAGGAGCTCAGGGAAGTCAGTGTGTATGTTCTAGGGGTTTCACTGGGTTTCCTATAAATAAAAATATCTTCTATGTGCTGCCCTTTGCAAGGATTTCAAGAGAAGTAGCTGTTATTTCCTTATAGTGAGACTTCATCTCTAGAGGTGCCCTTTCATTCTGGCCTTCCTTTGGAAAGAGGATTCCTCTGATGTTGGAGCTAAATGATCTTTAAGGTCCCTTCCAACCTAGGCCATTCTGCGATTCTAATGTGTAGTGCCCTTTGTCTAACAGGGAAATCCTCTGGGTAGGGAACATTTGTACACCAGAAAAATGTCAGGCAAAAAGTAGAGAATTTATTTTTTTTTTAATGTAATATATCACAATTCTATCTCATGCTGATTTGCAGCCAGTTCTCTTTACCTTTGTCTTGCTAACAGCTGGAAAACTTTAGTTCAAAACAAATCAGGGCATAGATTTTTTTCTGTCTTTAGGGGTGGAAGAGAAGAGAGAAAGGTGGGAAGGACTGGTACCTAGGCAAGGTAGGTGTGGTGGAAGGATCTCCAAAACTTGCAGGAAGTTGGAGCATATGGCATGTGTTCCAAGGTGAGTGTGAAGATGTATCGGCCAAGGAGAGAGGACACACTGCTCTTAGTGAAATATGTGGGCATTGCACAAGCTGTGGGCTGCACAACTCTCAGATCGTGGGCTGCAGGAATATTGAGTGTTACTTCCTCTGCTTGCATCTTCTTCCTCATGCCAAAGTCTTTCCAAGGTACTTTCTCAAAGTTCCAGTGGTTATGATGGGATATGGAGGTCCCTGCTGTATGAGGAGTGCCAACTGCTTTAGAAGGACACTTGGGTCCTGTATCCTTCCTTCACGTTGGGCGCAGTGAGAGCCACGCTGGATTTACGCCCCGCATTCTTAAGTATCCACATCCATAAGTATTCTGGGACTTAAAGCAATACTTGTCTGACAAGAGAAGCATACTGTTCCAAAATATGTTCCTTATTTACCAAGAAACAGCATCTTTAGGGCTGATCTCAGAGATGTAACCTGAAGTATCCTGGTAGTTTGGTCTCATGAGTCTTCTCTGTCATAGGGGTCTGTTTGCTTGCCTGGTGAGCATCCCAAGAGCCTACATTCACATGGCTCGTGTTGGTTTTTTTGTTGGTTTGTTGTTTATTTTTGGCTGTGTATCTGAGCGCTATGCCCGTGGTGAGGGTATTGTGTCCATTTTGCACTTGAGGTTGGTCCCTTGCCACTGGCCTTCACTCTGCACCTTTGTAAAGCACTTGTAACAATCCGTAAAATAATCTGTTGTTTTTTATAACTCATTGCAATTGAAAAAAAAAAAAAATAAAAAAAAATCTTGTTTAAATCTGTATTTTTAACTAATCTGTTTGAGAAATGTTAATGTTTATATAAAAGAATAAAGCCTAATACAGGATTTCGACATTCTCTGATGCCATCATTAGACTGGAGGAAGGTGGAGTAAGTTCTTAGTGTAACAAACTCCAAGCTAATAAGAAAGTGAGGATATAGGTTGGGGAGAAGCAGGAAGTAGTGAAATAAGCAGTAGTGCAATGCCACGCAGGTCCTTTGATCTTCAGTGTGGGATTTTACACAGGTAGGAGTGTAGGGACATTTTACACAGGTAGGGATTTGACACGCAGGAGGGTGTGGGTTCACCCTCCTATGTGCTGTAGCCAACAAATGTGGATAAAAGTGCATGTTGTGAAGACTGTTTATTACCTATTAGCTATACCCTCACTTCGATTTGTGGGCTGCATTCAGAGTTTAACCATATTATTCCACGTGCTTCACTCTACTTTTTATATAGACCAGCTCAACAAAATTGAAATACAGGTCCAAGCTGATAGCTGCTCACCTGATGCTCACAGGGAGTAAGAGGAGGAGCAGTGAGCAGAGCTGGGAGGCTAGACCAGCCTTGGATGGATGAGAGGACAGCTGGGCCCTGCTGCAGGGTCTGGTGACGAACAAGGCTGCCAGCAGCCAGAAGTGAGGCAGCAGTGAAGTTGCTGCCTGGTGACAGGCACTTGCTTTGAAGCTGCAGCCTGAGCTGCTGCCATCTCATTTTTTATTAATTTGAAGAAAAAAGCTGCATGCAAACGCCGATTTTGAAGTTGCAGCCAATAATGTTGATGGCACTGGAGAAAATAGATTTTGCTTGGCTTTGGCTTCTCCATCCCTCTCCAGTATCCTGGAAGCAAAGTCTTTTGACTGCATTTTTTTTATGTGCAAACGAGTACAGGGTTAATTTCTAGTTTTATAACCGCTTCTCAAATGGGAGCTGTTAGCCTGGGGTAAGTGGGTACGCGGAGATAAATCAGTGGTGCTTTAGTATTTGCAGAGTGCTGCCCACTGCTCCAAGTCTCTAGAGTTGCTCGTTGGGTGCTGGAGAAGCTGGGGCGGTTGAAATGCCTCCTGCAGGGGTGCTGGGGGGCAGCCCTGTGCTTGGATGGGTGACACAGCCGAGCTTGTGCAGTCTGTGCACGTGGGGGGTGGGGCAGGAAGAAAGTCTCAGTTCCTCTGCCAGGTGAGAGCACGGCTATGGGACACCGAAGCCAGGGTTGTGGGTTTTTTAACCAATTTTTTGTTTGTTTTAAACCACTGGAATATCGGTGGTAGTTTTGGTTGGTATAAAGTTCAGAACGCTAAACCTCGAGCTCGTCCCACCACGGCTCCCTCCCAAACCAAGGCCCACCAGGAAGCAGCTCTCACATTTCACTCCTTGCTGGGGCAATTCCTAACGCCTGCCACTCACGCTGGCCTCGTTTGCACGGAGCCAGGCCTCACTCTGATGCCGCACCTCGGGGGGGCCGCACGCCGCGCTACGGCGCGGCGCCCACGGCCGGGAGGTACCTGCCTACCCCCCGCCGCCGGTGTGAGTGGTTCGTTCCGCCCCTCCCTCTCTTCCTCCCTGCGGCCGGCGGTGGTGCGTTCCGCTCCCGGCGCTCGATGCGGAACTGCCCGAGCGGCGCAGAGCGGCTGGGAGCGGCGGCGGGGCAGGTGAGCGGGCTGTGGAGCGTCGGGACCTGCGGGCGCGAAGACGGGCTGGGCGCCTCCTCGGGTGATTCGCCTCGGCTGTCCCCCGGCCGGGCGGGCGTCGCGGTGATGCTCGGCGGGCCGCGAGCCCTTCCGCGGGGCGCCGCGGGGCGGGACCCGGGTGCCGGCTGTGGCTGCGCGAGGAGGGGGCGCGGCCGCCGGTGGCTGTGAGGGGTCGGCGCGCGGGCGGCAGCTCTGGGCCGCGGGCTGCGCTCTGTGGGGCGGTCGGGATGGGGAGGGGAGAGGAGGGGGGTCCGGAGCGGAGGGGTGAGCGAGGAGTGCCCTGCTGCGGCGTGACTCGAACAGCGCTTTCGCTCGTCGGTTTGCAAACGGCGGAGCCTCCCGTTTCCCGAGACAATAGAGTGGGAAATCCGCGTTATGTTAGGTAATCTCTTAAGAAGTTACGTGTAAATCGAGAGCGTTCTCCTCTTGGAAATGGCCGTCACCACTTTGCCGTGTCGTGTTGTCAGACAGAAGGGAGAGGAGCCCTCCGCGGCACTGTTGATGTGGACTCACGATAACGAGGCGCTCAGGGAAATGACAGGCTTGGAAGCGAGCCGCTTCGCTCCCAGGCTTTCTTCTCCCTATTCCCCCTGAGCGTCGCCCGTCCGTCTCGCTGCTGTCGGGCACGCACGGAGCAGCGCGTGCTGCACATCGCATCCCGGGGAGGTGGGACGGAGCTGTGCGTGTCGGCGCGCTGTGCTTCCCCGCCGAGCCAGCCATTTTCTGTGCAGCCCGGCCGGCGCTTCTGCTCACCTGCGCTCCGTGTCCTTGCCGTGCTCTCTGCAGCATCGCTTATCTGCGCAGAGGCAGCTGCTCGAGCGGGAGCGAGGGGAGGGAAAGCGTGTTTCGGTGTGCTGAGGGTCACATAGCCAAAGCGATGTCATTCAAATGCAGGTCGTTTGGGAAGCGTCTCCATTTTCGGCCTTCGTGCTGGTTGAGCCTTGGGGACTATTTTGGGCAGGCATAAGAGGTGCTGGCGGTTTTCAGCACTAATGAAAATCTGCAACCCTGACACATCAGGGAGGGCATCCAAGGCAACCAGCACAGCAAAAATGCAGCTCTCGCAAGATCCCATCTTGCCATCATCTGATGGCTTGTTATGTAATTCTGAACAGATCGATCATTACTGCTATAAATTGTCCTTTTGCTTTATAGTTGGAAAATGTGTAGCTCTCGAATCCAGTTTAATCACTTTACAATTAATTACACGCTCCTCACACATCTTATTGTGTGTGTAACAAAATGCAAAATCATCAACAAGTCTCGAACATGCTTTTTTTTTTTAAACAATATAGTTTTGTCTTCACTAAAAATTGTTGTAGGTACTTCTCCACTATTGCAGAAAGTCAGGGCTTCTGTGCTTTTAGCAAGTTAACGTCCCAAGTTGCACGTTTGTGTTGGCTTTCACACCATTACTTTTAAAAAGAGAAGGAAAATTGTGTCCCCACTGACAGAACCTCATCTTCATAACACACACAACATGGCCCCTTCTGATGGTGAGTTATGTGATGAAGGTTTTGAATGGCAGTGAACAGAAGGCTCTGTAGCAAGCTCTTCTGCTTTCAAGTTTTTATAGAAAAACAGGAGTAAATATTTTGTGAGGCCAACCTCTTCTGCAGCCTTGATCCCGTTCTGCAGTTCCTTTGGAAGGAAGCAGGCTGTGTCTGTGATGAAGTCCAGCCTAAGTCTCCTCAGAAGGATGCTGGAGAAATGCTGAGGAAATAAAGGTTCCAGAGACATTAAATAGTAAGCCTTGCCAAAGTAGCTTTTTGCTTTATTGGATGTTGGGATTGATGGCAGAATGTATTGGTGCATGCCAAGTTTTGCTTAGAACACTGTTTGTATTGCCATTCTAAATTGAATTAAAATTGGCTTTGATTTGATCTCACTTGGGGTTGGGGACATGCAGGCTCCTCATTTGTAGCTCTTTCCCTCTCATCTTGCCTCATCAAATAGGTATAGGTGGGATGTGTTAGGCGATACTTCTGCAGAGGTGCTGTGTGGCCTATTTAATATCCTGTGCAATGAGTCAGTTGAAAAAACAAATATTTATGAAATAAAAAGGGTGTAAATTTGTGTCACTTGGCATTACGGCTGATGTTACCTGTAGATACGTTACCATGGCGTGCTGTAGTGCTTTTACTAGGGGGGTAGTGCCACCTGCCCACAGGATGGAAAGTGATACTTCTCTGTAGGTATGGAGCTGAATGTTTCACTTACTTTCCACTATACGTATGTTACAGCCTGGAGTAATTCCTGGCTGCGTCCTCTGCCTTACTGGTGTGACATTTAGGATACGTTACATTTAGAATGCATTGCATTTCTGAGCAGCCCGTTTGCTGGAAAGCCTTTGACATCGTTACTCAACACAAAGGCAGAAAATGCAGAATGAGTGGGGGTTTGCAGAGGTGAGGAAAGGTTATAGAAACAGGAGGAACTCTTAATATGTAAGAAAGCATTTGAAAGCTAGAATCAAATCTTAATGTGTAAGATTAACTTCCACAGTTAAGCAGTCTCCATCTTTCTCAAAGTGCAAGTTCTCATGAAGGAAAAGCATTGTTGGTGACCTAACAAGAAGTGAAATAAAAGTAAGCAGCACGAGGCTTCAGTCGGAAGAGAATGTTCTTAGTGGGATAATCTGGTAATGTGTGGAATAATTGTGGTGTTTGTTTGATCACAGAAGGGTTTGCAGCTTTTCCTTCAGTGCCTTAAGAGCTATGAAGAGGTGTGTGGTGGTGACCTTCTTGTGTGCTCTCTGTAACTGAGCCTCTGTAATTCTGCTACTCTTTGCTCTGTTGGCTGAGAGAGAAAATAATTTGGGAGATAGGAGGTTCTCTGTCACTTGGGGCCTTTAAATCTGTTGTGAGCGTGTGAAAATTACTCTTGATAATCAAGAAATGTGCTCCGGGTTTGTTTCTTGGAGCTGGACTAGTTGACTAAAACTACATCCCCTGCAAGTAGGAGGGCTCATGCTGCTGTGAGCTCTGGTGTTTCCTCACAGCTAGGGCTCCCAAACTGGGGGCTGTGCCTTTTGAGGCCAGAACTCACAGAGTTGTGAGGTATTGTGTTAATTGCTGCTACGTTTCCTTTTCTCATCTGCTAGCAGCACCGTTGCAGTGATGTAAGAGTAAGAAGAGCCGCTTGCATGCACCCAGAGTTCCTGTTCTGAGGCAGTTCTCTTGCTGTGTTCTTAGGGACTGCAGTCAAGTGAGAGACTGGTGCTTTTCTAGGCCAATATAAGGAAAAGATGCAATCAAAAGATCATTGTGGCAGCAAGGAGCAAAGGTTTATGGTTTTCTTTTCTTTCACAGTCTTCAGTGTTCACAGCTGGGGCAGTCCTCAAAAAAGAACCAGTCATCACCTTGCCTTGGGTCAGTCCTGTGGTGGTTGTTGTGATTTCTCTTTTCTGTGTTGTTTATGACCTAATTTCTGAATACTTTCTCTAAATTGTATTTGGGATTTCAATCTTGTTTTTTTTTTTTACACATGGGGCAGAGATATCCAGATTGTTGGGAAAGCATCTGATGCTCTCCAGAACTGAGTGTTGTCTGATGAGCAGAACAGCCTTTTTTCTTAAACTATGCCTTTTCTTTGTCATATCTGTGAGTTCAGCAGCAGTGTTGCACAGCATTGCAAGCCCTTTATCATTTTTGTCACTGTCTTTGTTGCA